CTGTTCATGGATAGGCAGAACTAACATCATCAAAATGGCGATATTACCAAAAGTTCTCTATAGATTTAATGCAATGCCAATCAAAATCCCAATGGCATTTCTTGTAGAAAAAGATAAAGCAATCATGAAATTCATATGGAAAAATAAAAGACCTAGAATAGCAAAAGCAACTCTAAGCAGGAAGTGTGAATCAGGCGGTATAGCGATACCAGATTTCAAACTATACTACAGAGCAATAGTAACAAAAACAGCATGGTACTGGTACCAAAACAGGCAGGTGGACCAATGGTACAGAATAGAGGACACAGAGACTAATCCACAAAGTTACAACTGTCTTATATTTGATAAAGGGGCTAAAAGCATGCAATGGTGGAAGGATAGCATCTTCAACAAATGGTGCTGGGAAAACTGGAAATCCATATGCAACAAAATGAAACTAAATCCCCTCCTCTCGCCATGCACAAAAGTTAACTCAAAATGGATCAAGGAGCTTGATATCAAATCAGAGACTCTGCGTCTGATAGAAGAAAAAGTTGGCTCCGATCTACATATTGTGGGGTCAGGCTCCAAATTCCTTAATAGGACACCCATAGCACAAGAGTTAATAACAAAAATCAACAAATGGGACTTACTTAAACTAAAAAGTTTTTTCTCAGCAAGAGAAACAATAAGAGAGGTAAATAGGGAACCTACATCATGGGAACAAATCTTTACTCCTCACACTTCAGATAGAGCCCTAATATCCAGAGTATACAAAGAACTCAAAAAATTAGACAATAAGATAACAAATAACCCAATCAACAAATGGGCCAAGGACCTGAACAGACACTTCTCAGAGGAGGACATACAATCAATCAACAAGTACATGAAAAAATGCTCACCATCTCTAGCAGTCAGAGAAATGCAAATCAAAACCACCCTAAGATATCATCTCACTCCAGTAAGATTGGCAGCCATTATGAAGTCAAACAACAACAAGTGCTGGCGAGGATGTGGGGAAAAGGGTACTCTTGTGCATTGCTGGTGGGACTGCAAATTGGTGCGGCCAATTTGGAAAGCAGTATGGAGATTCCTGGGAAAGCTGGGAATGGAACCACCATTTGACCCAGCTATTGCCCTTCTCGGACTATTCCCTGAAGACCTTAAAAGAGCGTACTACAGGGATACTGCCACATCGATGTTCATAGCAGCACAATTCACAATAGCTAGACTGTGGAACCAACCCAGATGCCCTTCAATAGACGAATGGATAAAAAAAAATGTGGCATTTATACACAATGGAGTATTACGCAGCACTAAAAAAATGACAAAATCATGGAATTTGCAGGGAAATGGATGGCATTAGAGCAGATTATGCTAAGTGAAGCTAGCCAATCCCTAAAAAACAAATGCCAAATGTCTTCTTTGATATAATGAGAGCAACTAAGAACAGAGCAGGGAGGAAGAGCAGGAGGAAAAGATTAACATTAAACAGAGACATGAGGTGAGAGGGAAAGGTAGAGAAAAGGGAAATTGCATGGAAATGGAAGGAGACCCTCATTGTTATACAAAATTACATATAAGAGGTTATGAGGGGAATGGGAAAAAAACAAGGAGAGAAATGAATTACAATAGATGGGGTAGAGAGAGAAGATGGGAGGGGAGGGGAGGGGGGATAGTAGAGAATAGGAAAGGTAGTAGAATACAACAGTTACTAATAGGGCATTATGTAAAAATGTGGATGTGTAACTGATATGATTCTGCAATCTGTATTTGGGGTAAAAATGGGAGTTCATAACCCACTTGAATCTAATGTATGAAATATGATATGTCAAGAGTTTTGTAATGTTTTGAACAACCAATAAAAAATAGAAAACGAAATTTTTTAGATGAATGAGACCCTAAACAAATGTTTGAATATTTGAAGTCCCATCATTATTCTTTCTTATTCCATCCCACCTATTTCTTCCTACTGCTTCTGTGAAAGCATATTTTTTCCATCCTGTCTCATATTCTCAACTTTATTTTCTCTATAATCCATATTCCATTTTGGTATGTAAAACACCTGAGATTCTGAGCCTATGAAGATTGTTCATGACTGTGTTTCAATTATTATTTCAAATAAAATGACTTGGCACCACACTCACACTGTCATTCTTGTTTTTTTTTTTTTTTTTGATTTAGACAGGGAGCTTCTGCTTGTGATAAGCATTAATCTACTTAAGCCAGTGGAAGCTAAATCTGAGACGTTTAATTAAAAAATATAGGGGTATATTATTGTAGAGTTTGTGACCAGAGAGAATTTCTGGCTCCATAAGGAACTCAACTGAATCTGACCAGTTGGGAATTGGTAGCACTCTCCCTGTGAACCTGTGCTTCTTGCAGTGTATCTTCACCATTCTCTAGCCTCTGCCATCCAGTATGTTCTATTTCTTTTTTTTAATACTTATTTTGTAGTTTTAGGTGGACACAATATCTTTATTTTATTTTATTTTTTTATGTGGTGCTGAGAATCAAACCCAGTGCCTCAGGCATACAAGGTGAGTGCTCTACCACTGAGCCACAACCCCAGTCCCAGTATGTTTTATTTTCACTTGTACATGGCAGAAAATTACGATCTTAGCTCCAATGCACATGACCTTCCAGATCCAGTGCCCAAACCCCAAAATTCAGTCTTGGTACTCTTTGTTTAAGCTCTCTCCCAAATCCAGTTGCCTTAGCTTGGCCTATGGTTTATTTTCTTTTGTGTCCCAAGCCCACTCTTTGTCCAGTCATTTGGAGCTGGAGAGGAAAGTGTCACTTGATATCAACAGAAAGTGGGGAATGCCTTTACTAGAAGGATGTGATGGTAGAGAAGAAATTATTTGGTATTTTCATGTTAGAACTGCCTTCCTCCATTGCCACAGGTCTATTTCTGTTTTTAATTTCTTTTCTTCACATGTTAAGTAGCTTCTACCCAAACACCATCTTACAGTACTTTTAAAATAAGATACGCTCCCAACTTCGATGTGGGTCTTTTCTTCTAGCTTTTAAAACCATAGTTTAGAACTTAAATTTCATTCACTAATATAGGCCACAACTTCCTCTTTCTCCCAGAAGTAATCGATGAAAACATCCACTATATTCTGAAGTGTTTTAGCTTCCCTTTCAATGATGTCATTCCCTAAAGATATTACCCAGTTCTTCTTACAGGAATCAGTATGGTTGAGTGACAGTCCTGGGAATATGCTTGAGAAAGAGCACTGCTCATTCTCTTTGGTTTATTATGGCTGTTTTTAAGTCCCATCTCAGGGAATTACCAACACCAAGATAAATTTCTTCCTCCCAGAGTCAGTGTATGGTATCGTTGAATTAACAGGGCTATTCAATTTCTTTCCAGCATTTTTTCTTCCCTCCAAGGAAGGTCTAGCCACTCCCCTTTTTCCCTTCAGAAGGAACCATGTCTTTCATGTATGCACCTAGTAGGCCAGCATCTTTCTTTTTTTCTTCTTCCTGTCACATTCCTACACTCTTTCTTCTATGGAATATGATTTTGATTGTTTTGCCTTTAGATTCTTTTAATGAACTTGGAGTAGAGTCACAATTCTAGAAAATCGGATTTATCTTTTGGGGGAGGAGGCTATATCCTATTGTATATTTTTAGTACAACAGAATTTCTTCACTTTTGCTGTATTTTTACTCTTCATTTGTCTTTCTATTGGATCAAGTTTTGATCCTCTTCATCTTTAATGTTCTCATCTTGTTCTGTTTGATTTCCCCCTAATAATCCTATTTCATTGGGATTATTTATATTCATATGCTGAGAGGCCAAAATATTTTTTCAGCCCTCTTCATATTTAAACGTGTAAGTTCTCCAGATAGAATGCACCATACCTACCATACCCATAGCTTATATTTGCAACAGATAGGAAGAAAAACAACTTTTTCTCTACTTATCATCAAACCATTTAATCCCATGAATTTTGGTATTGAGCTCTCAGGACGGATATTTTCCTTTATTGTCTTATTGCCTTTTATTGTCTCTTAGAATAGAAATTAAAGGCATAGCCTCAGAGGTCAAATATACCACTATGATCCTAGACAAGTAACTGAAATTCTGTAGGCTTCAGTTTCCTTGTCAGTACAATGGGCATAATAACATTTTCTAATGCACAGAATTGTTATGAAGATCAAATAAGAAAATGTGGGTTGAGTGCTCACTGTATGGTAAATGCTCAGTAAGTGCTAGTAATTGTTGTTGTGATTGCTTTCATTATATGGTAAGGGTCTTGAACTTGGGACCTATAACTCAAACTTTATTAAGCAACTAGTTCTTATAGAATCATTATTATTCATTTATATAATAGTTCTGTTTAGTGATAAGAGTCCAGAAAAAACTTAAGATTGTTAGTTTTGATTCTTGTTTCTTTGTTATATTTCTATAAGCTGATAGGTTGTATTTATACTGATTTTTCTCTTATATTGACTTAAATTTTTTTTGACAAATATTACTCATTTCTAAAACTTCTTTTTTTGTCCTATTTTTCTGGGTGGGTGAGATTCAATTTCAAATACCACCATATTTTCAAGTGCTAGCTATGTGCCAGGTTTGGTCTTAGGTGCTTAAATATACCTAGATATTATCTCCCTTGTATAGATTAAAAATTCAGGGTTTACAGAATTCAAGTGAGTGGACCAACATCATACATTTAGTAAGTAGCACTTGCAAGTATAACAGGTAAGAAGACTCAACCATAAACCAGTGAGAAAGAACTTTAGGAAGAATATAACCAAATAGTGTGAAAGTACAGGGAGAGAGCAGTTTTCTGGAAAAAAAAAGATAGGTAAGAAGATGAGAAAGTCTTTGTAAAAGAGATGAAATTTAATCTAAAAGATAACCAGTCAATTCATAAGAAACTAGAGTTCACTAGTACTCTTTCTTTCATTCACTCTGTTCCCATTTTAATTATGCATATGATTTTGTTTATTACACCAAAGATACACAGTATATAAATAACCATTAACTAGAACATAAAATCGTAAACATTGGAAAGGCATGTTTTATTTGATGATATGTTGAACATACTTATAGGCTTCAAATATTTAAATAATGGCTCTCATGCAAGATTCATTATAGATGTTTTCAATGATAGCACAGGTATTCTTTCACTGAGTTAGTTACAGTCCTCATAATACAAAACTAATCTTTGAAATGCTTGGTAAATATGTCGATTCTGGGTACAAATGAATCCTCCACTTCTGAAGGCTTGGTATGGGCTCCTATTTAGGTCTCCAATACATGTCCAGCGGTTTTTGGTGCCTTTTTGGGAAATACACCATTTGGCATGGTCCTGGTAAGAACTGAAATAAGATTGTCGAGATATCTTAATGGCTTTGATATTGTAGACATGGTAAGGAAGGGAGCAGTTTGAAGGAAGCTGTTGTCTCTTTCGCTGCCAGGTTTCTGTTAGCAAGTGTGTCTTCAACCGTTGAGCCATCCAGGCTGCAAAGATGTCTGGGGTTCGGAAGGAAAGAGAGAGATTGACATTTACACTTAGAAAAAATTCTGAAAATACCCTCAGGAAGGGATATCATCACTCACCTCTGATAGGTGGATGTCATAAGCACAACAGTAATAATATAATTGAGACAGTGGATGGGAAAATTTTTCTAAATCCTGAAGTGGCATGCAAATATATGCTATCTTCATTACTATAATGAGGTTGATATCTGCCAATGTCTTGTTTCACACAAACAAGGGAGCAATATGTGTTCTTGCCCTGAAAGATCTTTGGAAAGAATAAGGCTAGAGAAGTAATCAGAGGCCAGTTCTAGGGATCCTTATAAGCCATGATAATATGTTTGAATTTTCCTGAACAAAAAGGGGAATTTTTAAAGAATGTTAATGGAGAATTAATAAAAACTGATTTATGATGATAGATATCAATTGAGAGGCTGTGTGCAGGATGACTTGGGAAGAGTGGGTTAGAAAGGAGATAGGAAAAATGTAAGATTGTCATAATAACTACAACAGTAAACACAGGCATGGACTATGGTGGTGGCAGAGGATCAGGTAATTGTGAAAGTTATTAAGGACCTGGAACTGATGGTGGGTTTGATAGAGTAGTTAAGAAAAAGAAGGCATCAAGGAAGCCTAGGTGACTGTGCAGAATGCCAGACAATGAGTGAGTCTGTGGGGGAATGAATGATGAGCTTGGCATCTTTATTTGGTGTGGTTGTACCACCTCCAGGTAGAATTGTCCCACTGACTATTGAATATCTCACTTGGTACAGAGGTCTGGGTGGAAATCTAGACTGGGAGTCACGTGAGGACTTGCCAGAAATGCCTAGCATAGAATGTAGACTGAGATATGGAAGGACAGAGGACCACCTGGCCATTTCATCACCTATGGAGTAGTCAGAGGAGGACGATGTGGCAGAAGACATCTAAAAGAAGTGGAAGGAAGACCAAGAGATGTACACTCACTCCCAATACCAGTGAAGTGTTTCAGGAAGTGTTTCAGAAAGTGCCAAATTTGCAGAGACTATTTCTATCCTGTTAATTTTTGCATCTCTAGTGCCTGACATAGGGCTTGGCAAATAGGCATTCTATACATCGTATGCAATCTATAAAAGAAGGAAGGAAGCAAATAATCAAGGAAGTCAGTGAGGGGAATACACCATTTGGCATGGGCCTGGTAAGAACTAAAGTAAGAAGTCAGATCACCTAGGGCAGCCACTGTGGCAGGTGGGGTGGGGGGGGGGTGGTGATTGGTATCTATAGGCAGAAGAAAGACTACAGTGAGAGAGAGCTTTGAGTAAGTAAAGGCTCTGATGAGGATTTTCAAAGATATGTAGGAGAAAAAGCAAAAAAGAGAGATGTGGGAAATTTTGAATTGAGGGAGGGTTTCCAGTATGTTTGTATGTAAAGAACCTGAGTGGGAGCCTTGAAGTAGAAGAGGCAAAACAGATGAAGGGGACAAATCAAGGTATGTTGAGGCTACAATGTGTTCCAGAGGATAGGGGATATAAATGCTTCTGTTGGGATGGGAGAAAATGTGCTAAAAAGAAATGAAGACTGGTAAAAATGTTGGGAGGCTAGGGTGTGATACTGAAGTGGTTTTTCCCTAGTGAACTTTGTTGTCTTTATGGGTAAAGGGGCTCAGTAGTGTAAAAAACTTGACAATAAGGAAGACTCAAAATAACTGCTTAGGGGATGGAAGAAGGAGAGATGTGTTCAAAGGGAGACTGAATTTTCACTGGCCCCTGGCTGTATGGTTGTGAGATAGCTCTGGGGTCTGTACCAGCAATTCTGCTATTGAAGTGATACAGGAATATGTTTAAATTGACCCTTAACTTCCTTTTCCCTTTCCTTCTTCTTTTTTTTTCTTTCTCCTTCTTTTCTCCCTGCATAATCAAATTGTTTTCTCTAGGTAATCCATAGTGAGTCCAACAGCAGAGTTACACAGCATATCATTTGATGATGGTCTTTCATACCACCAAGAAAAGAATCCGATTTTGCAAAATGGAGGAAGTTTTGTCCTTGGGATGACTGAAGAGTGACGAGGTGCCGGCCAGGAATCTTTGATGAGCTCGACCTGGCACACAGCTGGGGCATGTGGACAAGATCCCTGTGAAAGGTGACCGGGATGGAACAGCTATAGACATTTGGGTTGCAGATCAAGAGCTGAGAATCTGAATCAAGAAACAGCAAAGAGAAGTTGAAAACTTAGACACAAAGGCATATGGAGATTATAGATATTGTTGTAGACAAACAAACAAACAAAAAAACCCCATACATAGGCATTCCCCCTTTTGAAGCAATGGCCTTCAAATGGCTTTTGTTCACAGTAACTGGCACCTATTGAGCACTTCATACTTTCCAGACATTGTGCCATGAGTTTTATATCATTTTACTCTTCTCATCCTCAGAGCAAACTTATTAGTAGGTAAGTTCTGTTGTTATCATTATCCTCATCTTATATATAAATTAACTGAGCCTTTATGTCAAATGTACATGGTTATAGAAATTGTAACTGATGAAGTTAATATTCAAACTCAGATAATCTGGCCTTGAAGGCCATATGCTTTTTCTCCTATATATACATATACAAAAAGTAGAGAACACCTTGTTTCCAGAATAATTAATTCATCAGTGTGTACATCCTGTATCTACAATGTTTAGTTCTCTATTCACCACATGATGCTAGCTAGATTAGGATGTGACTTAGGTGAAAGGCTCAGTGATCCTTATAATAAGATAGAAATTTGATGGGAAACATTTTCTAAACCTGTATCTGAAGGCAAAGATGATCTTCATTGCTGTTTAGCCGCTTTCTCAGTAAAAAGTGATTGGTAAAAGCAGTGTTCCTACTTTTTCTCCTCCCACACCATAGTTTGCCAAACGTAAGTATTTTTGGCTATTTGAGCTTGAGATCTTAAAAGAAGTTTATCTGGCTCAGATGTGTCATGTTGGCAGGGTACAGGAAACATTTGGTCTGCAAAGTTTTCTTTCTTTCTTTTTTTAAAAAATAAGATTGAACCCATATTTGAAAATCAGGATCTCTCTTTCTCTTTCACACACATATACCACATACCCTAGGTTTCTGGTTCCTCAGGAGAAATTTATAATCTGTGGGCCTGTATTTCCTAAAGAGCCACAATATGTTGGCTCTGAGGCCTTTGAAGCTTCCAGGGGAAAGTCAATACCCCAACTTGTCATGGTCCCCAGTGCCATGCAATTCATTTAAATGAATCCCTGAATTCATTTAAAACTACTGCCCCTGATGTCATTGGTAGACCAGGAACTGAGGACCAGTAAGCTTTAGTATTGCAGAGGCAGTATTAGAACACAGGTATCAGAGGGTCTATGAACAGATTAATAAACGAAGTGACACGTTTATTAATACATTTCTCAGTTCCTTCTCCAACATTGCTATCTCCTTTCACACATTCTGGTATTACCTATTGCTTCATACTGGTTGTACTTAAAAGTTACACAGATGCCACTTTGTCCGTTTCGTCTCCCAGTGGATGGATAATCATAGCCTTCTTGAGGAATTGGAGGAAACCGGGGAATAGAATGAATCAGCCAGAACCCCTGGATTCTGTTCCACAGCAATAAACCTACCCAAGATACATTTAATACAGATAAATTAGAAAAAAAAAACACTTCCTTTTAAAGTAGGGTTCAAAGATGCAACATTTATTCCTGTTTATGCTTTAGTTTAATGTTTTATTAGGTTAATAATCACAAGGATCATGTTCATTTTTTAAGGATGTCAGAAGCAAGTTAGATACACATCACAATGCATCATTACTGATGATAAGCTACCAATAAAGGGAGGCAAGGGCAGCCGTTCTGTGAAGAGTTAAGAGGAATTTCATGTTGAACTACACGGAAAATTTGTTTTGGCAGAATGCAAATTTGCTAAATTGGAGTTTGACCTTGTTAAACTATATAATCACCTGGCAAGCTTCAGATAGAGTCTTTACTGCTAAGCAGCTAACTTTTTTTTTTTTTTTCAAAAGCCTGCTAACAAACAGAGGTTAAGGAGACAATATTAAATGAAGAAATGTAATTGTAGTACTTTGTTTTAAGAAACTAATGCTCATTTATTGGAGAAGAGTCACCCACCTCAACAGACACAATAAAAGAGGTTAAAAAAGTAAAAAAAAGCAAGCCATACTATTCTTATTAATTATGTTTAGTAAAAGTTTCTAGAGCTTAATAATATGAATTTATTCATGTTTTCCTTACTAGAGTGGAAACCAAATGCCTGCTAATTATTTCTTTTTTAAAGAGTATACCTTTAAAAAGTTTGCTTTTGGCTAGGTACAGTAGTACATGCCTGTAATCCCAGATACTTGGGAGGCTGAAACAGGAGGATTGAGAGTTTGAGGCCAGTCTCAAAAACTTAGTGAGGAGATCCTGTCTCAAAAAATAAAAAAGGGGATGTGGCTCAGTGGTAAATCACCCTGGGTTAAGAAAACAAAGCATACCCTTGCTCTTCGGGAGGAAAAATAAAATCAATACTTACGTTTTGGTGAACCATGTTGACAGTTCTGTTGCCTAACAGAGCTGGATGGCCTTCAAGTACTCCCCTCTGCCCAGATAAATGTGCTGTTTTGCTGGAATCTCAACCTCCTAGTATGAATGCCACAAATGTTAGGGTATCTGATGGCAAAGAGAATTCCTTGCCTCAAAACTTAACATTAAACCTCATTTTCTTTTTCTCCAAACCCTTGCAGCAACTAATAAGGTGGAGTAGAAATGACAAAAGTTGCTGGAGGAGAAGTTGGAGAATGTGGTGTGTTATAAAAATTGTTGGGTTCCATGTAAATAGGGCCTTCAGGAGGGCAACTTGACAAAATTAAGAGCTTTCGATGTTCATGAACTTTGAAAACCACTACAAATTATATCCTTAACCAGACATTGCAAATTAGCAGTCCATGGACCAGATACAGACTGAGGATATATTTTATTAGGCTTGCAATGTATTTTTTAAACATTCAAGTCATTGCCAACATTTAAAACCTTTAGGGAATTTCCAAAAAATACTAATTTTCAACATTTCCTAAAAAAACCTGCAAGGTGAGAAATAATTGCACCCTTTAGTTTGTATATATATCTCTTGGTTCAGCCCATTACACTTGCTAATATTATCTGCCTGCTCCCTGAGGGTATTTGAGTTTGTAACCTTCTGAAGAATATTGTCATAGCTAGTTATTCATGACATATTTTTAAAAGTAGTCATTATGATAGCTTTATGAAATGGTTTAAAATAAGCATTTTAGAAAGGATTAAGTCTGTTTATCTAATGGGTATTAGGATTACAGATTTTTTTTTGTTTACTTGCACTTTGAATTTTTCTATAAAAATGTATATGTATTGTTCATCAATAGAAGAGTAACAAAAGTCACTAAAACAAAAATCACTGTATATAATAACAAAATTATGAGACCAACCTAGGTGTCCATCAATAGATAAGTGAGGTATATATACCCAATGGAGCTTTCCATAGCTATAAAGAAGATCAAAATCATGTTATTGGTAGGAAAATAGATGGAACTGGAGAACATCATAGTAAGTAAAATAAGCTAGACTCAGAAAGTCAAGGGGCATATGTGTTCTCTCATATGTGGGAGCCAGAGAAAAAAAGGGGAAAAGAAAAAGGGATCTCATAAATACAGAAGGGAGACCAGTGGGATAGAGGAGGGGGATGCGGTGAGGGAGGAAGGGAGAGACAAGGGACGTACTAAGGGTTAAATTGACCAGGTTATGTTACATATGTATATGAATATATCATAATGAATCCCATTATTATGCATAATTATTATGCAGCAATATGAAATTTTAAAAGGATTGTTTTGAAAAACCCAACTATTAATTAAAATTGTAACAATACAATTATGTCCATTTGACTGCATCATAAAGACATATGTTTTTGTTCGTTTGTTTCTCTGACACTGGGGATTTAACCCAAGGCCACTTTACCATTGAGCTACATCCTTAGTCCCTTTATTATTTCTTATTTTGAGGCAGGGTTTCACTAAGTTGCTGAGGCTGGCCTGGAACTTGTGATTCTCTTACCTCAGCCTTCTGAGTCAACTATAACACAAATTTTAAGGCAATAACAGAGTAGATTTGAAATTTCATTTGTTCATTTGTTTGTAATAAAAGATGACAAAATACCTTTCAAATTACTATGTATATTAGCAATATGTAACAAAATATGTCAAAAATTACTGTGATGTAAAAACTAAAAATACTTTTTTCAAAAATGTTTATTTCTAATGGAACTATATATTATAAAGAGTGAATTTTACTTGATATGTATTATACTTAATATACCTAACTACAAAGTGTGTGTGTGTGTACACATATTACCCCCACACACATAATATAGACTTCTTGGGGTATGTATGTATAAATATAGAGATATAGATGTGTATATAAATACATGTATAGTTATACACTAACTGGTATTCCCAGTGGTCAGCACTTGGATTTTTGCTCTAAAACATATATATATATATATATATATCTTAACATATATGTTTATATATATATATATATATATATATATATAGAGAGAGAGAGAGAGAGAGAGAGAGAGAGAGAGAGAAATAAAGTTATATTCCCAAAAAGGGTACTGCCAAGTCAAATTATATAATTATAACCTGTTATATGGAAATCATACATTTCAATTTATCAAAATAAACCATTAAAAACAAAGGTTATCTATTTAATATGGAATGTGAGTGCATTCACGATGAAAGGTTTAAGAAAATGTCAATTTCTAATAGGAAAGAGAAATCAAGAGCTGTTTCACAATACCTTTGGTGTGTCCATATTTTCTGTCGTAATTCACAGATGTAGGGACTCCATCATTGTATATTAGATAGGCCGTGCTGTTACCCTGCAGGAATATATTAGGGTTATAATGGCATAAATGCTCACAATATTTCTACCAGCTAGTCAGCCTACAATACAAAGCTTTTGTTAATACACATGAGAAGTCATCCATTCTCTTAATAGGCAGCTCTCGAATCAATATGAATTCTGTGGCATGTAAGACTGGGGGTGGAGTCCATTCTGAACTATGCGTGGTTTTGACTCACATGACAGGGGTGCTGTGCATTATGATCTGCATGTGAGGGTATATTCCTATTTCTCTTGGTTGTTTTGGAATCAGATTCTTATTAAGGAAGCAGTGTATGATAAAGGAGTGCTGAATTATTTGTTCAGGAAATGAAGGAGGAACAACCAGCCAAGGATTACACCTGTGTTTTTTTTCCCCCCATTGGTATTATAGGCACAGTGCAGAACAGGCTGTCAGGATCTGATTTCCTCTGTCTCCTTTGTGCTTCACTGCCTGGTCATAGCTTTGTATTTAATCAGGATTCCTCATTATCTGCTCCCCTTCTTCTCTGATACAGGAGGCTTTTTTCTTCAATCCATTTCTCAGTGTCACTTCACCTTTCTAACTTGTTATTTCCCTGCTTCAAGAGAGTGGTGAAATTTAATGTGTGATATTGGATTTCCTCTGTATGGCAAAATATGAGACAATTCTTAAGTTAGCCAAATCTCTGAATCAAAATAAAGCTACTATTTTGATAGTGTCTCTTCATCACCTTTAAGTTTGCTTATTATTGTTCTGTGTGGTTCCATTCCATTTGTGTCGGTGAATTTTATTGAAGCCAATAATGTTGATATTGAAAAAAATCTCAGTGACATAATAATAAAAGCAGGAGAAGCCAATTCATCTCCTTTAAAATGCCCTTTCTTTTCTTTCATAAGAAAGGAGTCAATACTGAGTCTCTTGTAGTTATTTAATTATTTTAAGGAATCTAAAAACATTTTTAAAATGTGCAACATGGGAAGCATTCTTGGCTACTGTACTTAGGCAAATCCAGAAAGTGAGATATTTTCTTACCATCATTTTCCATAATCAACCATAGCTACAGAATGTCATTTGTACCATTCTGTTCTCTGGAGATCTCTGGCAGTTGTTTTATGAGCTGACAGTGAATGTAGTAATGAGGCCATTTGTGTGCCTTTTGGGGTGCAATGTGAGGGACTCTGGGAGGATATGGTGTGAAACTGTATTTTTATAGTAGATAAAATTTCTCATTCTAACCAGGAGTGTAACAGCCAGCTAAGGTTAAATAAGTTGTAGCTGTGGTGGGAAGAAAGGCTATTTATAACAGGAAAGATCATAGACTTAAGAATAGGTAAACACGGTGTATTTCTTTGGACAGTTTTATTATTTTTTAATATTTTCTTAGTTGTCAATGGACTTTCTTTCTTTCTTTCTTTATATGTGGTGCTGAGAATCGAACCCACTGCCTCACGCATGCTAGGCAAATTCTCTACCACTGAGCCCCAGCTCCAGCCCCCAGTTTTATTCTTTTAATACATATATAGAGTATGGTTTTGATTACTGGATGTTGAACATCTCTGACCCTAGACTAGCAGGGAATCACTTTAGGAAAGCACAGGCAACTGCAATACAGTTTGATCAGTGTTATTGTGGCATCTGGAAGGTTCTTATTTGCAAAAGCAAAAGAATGGAAAAAATTCCAAATGTAATCCCGTTATTGGCTTTGATTACCCTTGACATTTGAGATTTAAAATTATTTGGTTCGATCTTGCATTCCACTCTCTGTTAGAGTTCGGTTCCAGGTCAGGGGACAGGAAAGTTATGTTCTCATAGTCACTTCTGACACATAGTTCCAGCTTCCAAAGTATACTCAATCTTACCTAGCTATCATCCACTGCTATTGCTCTGTGCCAGTCAGACATGGAAACCCGCCCCTTTCCTGTCATTTTCTTCTCAAAACCAATCATTCAAGGCATTGTGCATGAACAGGTTTCACTGAAGGTAGGAGACATTGAATGGTTTTTTTTATGCCACAATGTCCTATGCATTCTCCATGTTTCTCACACTTTTTAAATCCTTGCGTCCTTCCACTATTTTTTTTTGCAAAGCAGTTTAGTTCTTTTTCCCTTCCTAGGCTCTAGGCCTGCCTTTGTACCTCCTAAGACCATTATTGGATTCTGCCAAACTAAGTGCCAACTACTCCAACAAAGATGAATGACAGGCTTGACAATGTTACTTTTCCTCTTCCCTGCCCCAGCAATTCCTGTGATGGGAAAAGGAACAATGTAGGCATTTGTTTTGTCTCTAATGGCTTAAGCTCCTGGTCCCTGTCCTCAACCTTGGAAAGCAAAAGCAGCTGCAGGCAGTTTACACTTTGTGTAACCATCTATTTATTCAAAACAGAGTTGTTGTTGAGGTTAAATAATTTTTTAAAACACCTAGAACTGTGGTTGGCACATCACATGTACTCAAACGGCCTACGAAGTGGTATTAACTTTGAGATTTCTCTCCGAAGATTGCTTTTAATGGCAGGTGAATAAAATGAGTATTACTTCAAACAGTGACAGCTCCCTGCTCATTCTGAGTAAATATTCAGACCCACACATGCAGTAGTGCTAGAGGCGAAAGCAGTCTTGTAGTGAGCATTAAATTACTTGCCATATGTAAAAGCCCAGCACAGAGTCTGGCATATTACAGTTATTGTTAGGAAATGCATACGTGAGTGTAATTGGATGTTAATTATTGCTTGATTTTACTTGTCACCCTTGTTGGAAAGCAATTGCTGTGCAACAGATGGAGCCTGGAATACTGGGAGGCTGCCCACACTGAACCAGCAGGCCTGCTTACCTATATCTTTGACTGGCTAGCTCATTGCCTGATAAAGTCCAAACAGTAGATTTAGTCTCCATTTAGGCAAGTTCTAGGACCTTGAAACTTAAATCTTAGCTGTCAGCCTGCCATCTTGAAAATAATTAATTGGAAGAACCAGTGGAACCCTTTACTTGGATTGTTGCTGCTTATCAGCACCATGGCATGAACAACCCATAACTCATGGCATATTGATCACAGATCTATATTACCTTGTAGTAGAGAGGGCTCTTCTTCCTGCTTCTATTTAATGGATGAGATAGCAAGCACTGAGGTTTTGGCAGAGGTTTTGGCAGCCAGAGACTTTAATGAGCAATTAGTTTGATACCATTGGACATGGTACCAAATGAACCAGCAATTTGGCATAGCTGTCGCATATGATGACTTATTTCCCAAGGCCTTGGTCAGGTTGGTTCATTTAGTTGTTCTGGAGTAGTTATGGGCTAGTCTATTTTTAACTACTGGGATTGGGGTTTAGATGTGTAAGTAGGGAAAAAATCTTCACACCTGCTTTTGGAAGCTTTGAATTGTGTTTTATGCATTTTCTGTGATTCAAATAAATGATTAACTATAACATACCTTGGAGGCATATGCTTCATATAGCTGTTGTAATGTCCTTCCCAATGCACTCTCAGTGGTATTCATTAACTGCTCACTCCTCCTCCAGCTTCTGATTGTGGAGTCTAGGTATAGGTACTCTAGCCCAGTCTCTCCAGTTTCCTTGTCTTGCCTTTTGGGTAATTTATAAAAGATAAACCTAATGAAGGAAATATTTATGAATTACTATGACTTATTGATGGATTTCCTGGTTGCAATCTGTATCAAATACTTAAATATATCTCTTGCTTATGTTTCACAGAAAGCCCCTAAGGAAAGGGATTTGCTCAAGATCTCCACCTTTTCCTTTGCTCCTCCTCAGGGAAGAAAATATGAATCTGATCAGATATATTCTAAGACAATAGCTGGCCTAGTGGATGGAGTCCTTGAAATGAAAGTCCCTGCACATTGAGAGAGGCTCTCTCTGATGTTTGCACAGTGCTTATGACTGCAGTAGGGAAAAGACCAAGGCCCAGGCCTGCACTGGAGAAGTCTTGGGTTCTCTTCTGCTACAAGTGCTTGGCATTCTCATCTCTTTGCAGCTGGCTGGGTATGAGATTTGGAAGTTGGCTTTCAGGGCAGCTGGAGATTCCTTTGAGACCCCGGCCCAATTCTCATTCTTCAGCTCATTTTATCCAAATGTCTTGCATGGAGGATTTGGGCCCAAGACTAATTATGTAAGCTCTTCTTTTCCTTTTCTATTGTTTCTTGTTGTATATGTCCTTTGGGTATCCCACAGGGAGGACAGGTGGTAGGGCCCACATAGCACTCAGGCAGTCTTAGATCATCTATCCCAGAGTTTCTTAGTGTTCTATTTAGGTTTTGAGCCAGACCATTCTTTATTGTGGGGGTTGTCCCGTGCATTGTAGAATCCCTCGCTTCTACCTGTTAGGCCCCCCAAATTGTGATAATCAAAATCCATGTTGCTTCCTGCTTCTGTATTACCTCATTGCTCCTTTATTGGCCAGAAATGCCCATGCACAGCCCTATTTTTTCTAGCTACTCATGACTGTTCTTAAAACAGCTGGTGTCTTCTTCACCAGGCATGGTGGTGTACACCTATAATCCCAGTGGCTTGGGAGGGTAAGGCAAGAAGATTGCAAGTTCAAAGCCAGTCTCAGCAACTTAGTGGACCCTGTCTCAATAAATAAATAAATAAGACTGAAGATGTGGCTCCATGGTTAAGCACTTCTGAGTTCAATCCCTAGTACCAAAACCAAACCAAAACACAACAAAAGAAAAAAAATGTACTTCTTCAAAGAAGCCCTTTAGGCTCTATGCTACCCAATACCCTACCTATGCCTTTATCTGTGAACTCCTTAAAGGAAGGAACTATGTTTTGTTTATACTCTATCTTCAAAACTCAGCACAGGGCCTAGGAGGAGCTCCTAATGGAGTTTATCTATGTTCTCTAGCCTGAAGTTACACAAAGTTTGATGTCATCCATAATGGCAAACCTAAACACCCTGACTAAAGAATGAAGAAGTGACCAAAGCTTTAGGAGAATCCAACTATTTTATGTTGTGTCTCTTTTGACACTGTACAAGAGGTCAATGACCTTCCACCCACCCCAACAGTTGCCAAACAAAGCAAGGTTAACCAAAGAGGGCTGTGTAGAACCAAATCCTCCTTGTCCTCATAAGGAGAAACATACTCCAATTTCAGAAAAGGAATCTTCTGCTTTATCTCCTGTGTCAATATAAAAGGTTTCTGTTAGGAAAAGCCACGTGTAATTAAAGAAATTGCCAATTGACAGAAGTTGTCATCTCAATCCCACTTCTGCAATGACCAGCTCGCCCTGCTGAGAGCACTGAATTAGTCCAGAGGGGCTGCTCAGCTCTCATTCCAGGATCTCCAGCTTAAAAGCTGTGTGGGTATTTAGCCCACTAGCACATTTTAAATGCTTTTCTTTTTAAAGGAAGAGAGTGAGGAGAAAGTTCTCCTTAGGAACATCACAGCCAATCAGTCTGCCTCCTATACTTTGGCTTTCTATTTGCATACACCCATCCTTTCATTTCTTTTACCTACCAATCCACGGCTTCACCTTCTTCATTTCTGCATGATATTGTTGATGCCTTCAGGACCCCAAAGAAGCCAAGGGAGAGCAAAGCAAGGGTTGTTCTTAGAAGTCTCGCTGTCATTTTCTTTCTGTCGTGTTTATTCCATGCCACAGCAGGAAACTTTCCCCATAGATGGTGGAGTCTGAGTTTCAAGTCTCTATCAGGCTGCGCTGACTCTGACATTTGATTCCATTTACCTCTGCTCTTTGCTGCTCAGGCATTTTCAGAATGGGATGAATCCCATGTACTCGTGTGATTCTGTCACAACATCCCAGCGTGACTCTGGATGCTTTTGTGCCGAATTGTTGATGAGTTTGCAAAGTCATCAAAAAGTTCTAGAGAGACAATAAAGGGGATATATATATATATATGTGTGTGTGTGTGTGTGTGTGTGTATACATACATATATTTAAAGTGAACATTATGTATATAAAGTTCGGTGGGCAGGGAACTTCATTTTGATCAGCAGATGTTGAATTAACATTCTCATGTTTTTCCCACTCTGATATGAGAGCAAATGTATAAGCTTCATACGTTAAACAGAAATGACAAAAAACATTACCTTAATAATAATTAGGATTTGTTGCTTATTATAATCTCTATCTTAAGAAAATAATTGCTAGATATCACTTTAAAAGATTGCTCCAAAGAGCGAGCATATTCAGTTTGCTGAATTTCACTGAGTGTTGACATATCTTCTCCACCTCCCTGGTTTTGGCCACTCAGTGTGGTGCTTTGCTTTAAAGAGGCTTTGCTGTCTAATTGACTACTATGCAATCAGGCAAACATATTGACCGCCTATTCTTCAGATTAAATAAAAAATCTTACAAACACTGGTTTTGTCCAAACTATTCTTTCTCATTCTTGAAACTACATCTGAACTTGAAGGCCAAGGGAAAATGACCCATTACCATAACGACTCTAAAAAGGTGAGACTCATCTATTTTGGGAAGAAAGAAGGAATGAATAGACATCTGAAAAGAATTTCTTTAAATGCATGGTGCTCTTGAATCAATTATTAAAGATGCTGTCATAGTAAATAGCCAGTTAATGTCAGTCCTGGAAGTCACAGTGGCTCTAATCTGTCTCTCTGATTATGGATCCAGATCAGAGTCATTTAGAGGATCCAGATCAAACAATTCCCTTGCAAATTAGGCTGCTTTTGTGGTCCAATGGGCACTGTTGGAGGTTCTCAGAGTTCTTAGGAAAGGGAGGTCTTATGGATCTACTTCTCCTAAGACAATTTTTTGAGGAACACGCTGAGCTACTGACCCACATTATGTGCAGTATCTGCAAAAAGGGCAGAATTCTGAACCTAATCTTCAATCCGCTGAGTCAGAATCCTTCCAGTTGGGCTGAGAAATAGATATTTTTAATGAGCTTGTTGTTGAGGCTGGTGCACCCGTCTCAACAATGGCCCAGCTGTACCATTTCTGGTAGACTAACAGCCTTCTGCATGGAGCAGACAAAATTGGCTAAACCAAGAAACATTTTTCTTACCATTTCTCCATGGATATTGTCTCATTTTATGCAGGTTTCTGCTGTGTGCAGAAAAAAGGATTTCAATAACTCCAAAGAATAGTAAAAAAATATGGCATAAAGATAAATTTTCTGTGAAAGTGGAGTGAAATTGAGTTTATTTGTTTATTTTATCTTGCAAAAATTACAATGGTGAGCACCCAGGTATAGGATGTTAATTAATATATTCAGAAAATATAAGCAACTTATTTTCAGTATGTAGGCTAAAGACTACGTTGAAGTAGTTGAATAGCATATACACAATTCTTGCTTTTTTCCCTCATTACATGCTTGGCACAGTGCCTGGTAATAGTAAATGATACTTAAATGTTAGCTAAGGTTATTATTACTGTCTCACAAAGTACAATGTGGAAAATCTGTGTTAGGATGCTATTTGATAAATCCAATTTTATTTAAAGATCTGGAAAGACACTATTAATTTGGTTTCTTTCAGCTGCCATTTTCAATAAAGTGTCATCTCCTGCTTTTTCTGACTCAGACATGCTGGTTGTCAGTCAACAACCTTCCTTTTATAGTTGTGACTGTTGAATACCATAGACACTGAGGGTCTCCAGGGATTTCAACAAGACCTGAATCCTAGATTCCAGTGTGTCCCCATTTTTTTACTAAAAATAGCAAAGTAGTGGTATGGAGAGAAACTCCTGAATTTGGTGAATGAAGAAAATGTGAACAGGAAAGAATATTTTTCACAATATTCCCTGCTTTTGAAGTCCAAGTAGTATAAAAGTATGAAGACCATGGCTCCTTCACAACTCAGTCACTTCTAAAGTAATATAAAATGCTTTAGCTGGAACTTGGCTCCGTATGGCCAAAAAGAAAGAATCTTCACTTTGTAACAGGTTCTGATTTCATAGGTGAAGGTTTGCATTTACTCATCCAATATGGAAAATTCCTGTGTCGATCTCTTCAAATAGTGCATCTTCCACTTTTGCTTCATCACATCTTTCTAATACATTCCATGTCTCTTCTATCTGCTTTAGCTCCTTGTATGACTGAATTAGTCTTTGATTCCTTATTGGGAGCCATCTTCTAGTTCTCTAATTCTCTATTCAGGAACATTAATCCATTGCTTAACTTATCTCTTCCAAATAATATTTTTTGGGGGAGGGGTACTGGGGATTAAACTCAGGGGCACTCAACCACTAAGCCACATCCCAGCCCTATTTTATATTTTATTTAGAGACAGGGTCTCACTTAGTTGCTTAGCACGTTACTTTTGCAGAGTCTGGCTTTGAATTTGCAATCCTCCTGCTTCAGCCTCCTGAGCCACTGGGATTATAGGCGTGCGCCACCATGCCCGACCCAAATAATGTTTTTTTGAGTTGTGTTTAATCTGTTTATTAAGCCATTCTTAATGCATTTCTAGAGGTTTTATTGGTTTTTGTTTTTTCTAGATTTACTTGTCTTTTTTATGGTCTCTTGCTTCTTGATCATGTACTCAATCTTTTTTATTTCTATCAAAATATTGAATATATTATTTTATATTTTGTATTTAATTCCAATATCTGAAGTGTTTGCAGGTCAGATTTTGTTGTTATTTCTGCAACTCTCTCTCACAATACTTTACTATTGTGTGTACTTTTGATTTGGGGCTGTAAATTCATGGTCCTTGAAACTTTATCTGTGAAAGTTGGTGTTTTTGTTTTGTTTTGTTTTGTTTTTGAGATTAAGATAAAGTTGGGTTTTTCTAGTCCCTAGTCTATGCTGGCTTCATCAAAGTACAATCATCCTGTAAGGACTTCCAGGAGTTAGAAGTCAGGCTGCAGAATTTATTTATTTATTCACTTGTTTGTTTATTTTGGCTTTTGAAGTATGATTGATGTACATATCATAAAATTTATCTGTTTAAGTTCAGTTTTCTTTTGCCAGACTTTCACAAGACTGTTGGTGGACCAAGTGAAATCTACAATGTAACATACTGAAGGAAAAAGTTGATGCACTTATGTTAGGAGGAAGTGGGGAGGACTTAAATTATTTTGATAAATAGAGATAAGAAAGTGTAGAAAAAGGAATTGTCCATGAGAAACGTAATTTAAAGAACACAACCAAGAAGAGGGAATGATGACTGGAAAATTGTATTTAGTCCATCGCTAGCCTCCTCTTGGTTGCCCTGAGAATGCCCATTCTTCCTGGAAGCCATCTTGATCTCCCCCAATCCAACTTAGGTGTCCTTGCAGTATATCCCCAAAGCTCACTGTACTCTCTCAATTAGAATAACTAATAAAATGTGTTCCTAGTTAGTTTTGTGTTTTTACCCCCTGCATCTTCCTTTAGATAGTAGTGGTCAGAACACTCTTGTGAGCCACAGCTTACTTTTAAAATAAAGTTTCACTGGAAGATGGCCACACCCACTCAGTTATGTATTATAGGTAGCTACCTTTAGGTTATAATGACAGAGCTGAGTTGTTGAAACAGAGGCCCTACAGTCTGAGAGGGCTAAAATATTAACTACCTGTTCTTCACTGGCTCAATGAGGGCAGCCTGGTGTCTGCCTTGCCTGCTCTTGCATCTCCAGACCTACCACAGTGCCTCTTACATGAGGTATTGGATGAGAAAGGTTTCAGAGACTTCTATCTGGAGAGATGTGGAATTTAGAATGAATTAAATGGGATCATAGAAATAAACAAATACAGATATGTAGTAGGCAAAACCCATTATAAATAATTTAATTCTGCTGTTTATAAATCAGGGAGGCAGCGATAGCTGTGAGGACCAGGCAGCCACGTATGTGATTTCTGATTGCACTGAGCTTCAACTTCCTTTGCTAAAGATAGGCCTCCTGTTTTCTACCTTCATAGGGAGCCCACAGGCTCAGTGAAATGCTCCTGCCTGGCATATAACTGGTGGCACTGAATGCTGGTTCCTTCCCACTTTGTTTCTGTCTCTTCCAGGACAAAGTAATTTCCTTTTCCTTGCAGATAGATTTAAAACAGTTTTAAATAACCTCAAATAAATTTCAGTGTTTTTTTTTTTCCCAGATGAAAGTCAGTTGTTCAACTCAACCAGGAGTTAGGAGTCAGGCTGCTGAATTTATTTATTTATTCACATATGTATAAATTGTGATATTTATACATATGTGATGGGTCCAAAATAACTAGCATTTTTGTATCGCTCTCTATTATGGAGGGGTAGAGATTATCCTTACAGAGACTCTTCTAAGATTTGGGAGAAGATTCTGTTAACAAAGGCTTGAAGCTGGACTTTCATCCCAGAGGGCTGAACCCCTCCATTTTCCTCCTGCTGACAGCACAAACACAACTCACATAAACACAGAATCCACCTGAGCTCAGCCTCCCTTGCAATCACAAAAACATGACTATAGTGCTAGCAAAAGGGATGGTTTGGGCAGGGGCATGTCTTGTGTTGATGAGTTTCTGCCTATGATAGTGTTTATTTTAGTCTACAGCACTCTCTGCTATGCCAGTCTGCCTGTCCCTGTGTCCCTGTGTGACACTGGGCAACTCATTTAACATCTCTGCACTGCTTTATTTTAAAACAGGGATTTTTTTCTTAACCAACTCACAGAGTTGTTGTGAGGAATAGATAAAACAATGTAGGTTCCAGTGGGTGGGAGATTAAATGGGA